TATGACATGGCTAAGAAATTACTCTTTAAACAATCAGCAAGAGAGAGAGAGAGAGAGAGAGAGAGAGAGAGAGAGAGCAAAATTAGTCTCTAATCCTCTTAAAAAGTAGTTACTACACTGTTGGAAAAGCAGGAAAAGAATTTGGAAAAGTAGGAAAAAACCGTTGAAAAATTGACGAATTAAGGAAAAAATATGCAGAAAGATATGGATTGTGTAGTGAGTGCGAACAACCTAATACTGGTTATAAATGATGTCAGACTTGTGATCCTAAACGTCTGCAAGAAGAATTCAAAAACTGAACTAGTGGTAATCCTGAAATCGATGCATTCATTCAAAAGCATCAATTAGAAGCAACCAGTGATAATAATGTATTGGAGTGAATCCCCTACGAACAGTTTACTGAGATTAAATATCTCGCAGAAGGCGGATTTGGCAAAATATACAAAGCAGAATGAGAAAAGGGATGAGGTGAATACAGTATTAATGGAGTTGCTTTGAAAGTTTTAAATAATTCTCAGAATATGACTGCTGATTTTTTAAAAGAAATTGCTTTTCATAATTTATTAAATAGTCAAGAGGAAAGATGCCAAAAAAGTGGTAGTATTGTGAAATGTCACGGAATTTCTAAGGATTATGACGGCAATTATGTCATGGTAATGGATTATTTTGAAGGTGGTAGTTTGCGACAATTTATGGATGAGTGTATACTTGGTATTAGTGGCAAAGTTGACCAACTTTATTATATTGCGAAAGGGCTAAAAATAATCCATAAAAAAGGACTAATTCATAGAGACTTTCATATGGGAAATATATTGAGCGAGTATAACGATGATCCCTTTAGTTATATTACTGATCTAGGACTGTGTCAACCTGCCAATCATCAAAAACAAGAAGGTCAAATTTTCGGGGTTCTTCCCTATGTTGCTCCCGAAGTATTGCAAGGCAAGCCTTATACCCAAGCCTCGGATATATACTCTTTTGGCATAATTGCTTATGAATTATTGGCTAATGAATATCCTTATTATGAAAAATATGAAGAAGGTTGGGGTGATGGTGAACTACCCACCACTTATAGAAGTGGGGGCTTCTCGGTTCCTAGACAAGGCTATCACCTAGTCTCCCCGAAGGCTCAAACCGAGCCATTCTTGCCAACTAGCAAGTGTTCGTGAGAACTTTATCTCCATTTATTTCATGGAGTTATTTCATCCTTTGTTTATACTTTTAAGTATATGTTATATTTTAGCAATTCATCCCACCACCTAAAAGAGGATGGGGGACTTCTTGCTAACTTGGGTTAAATTATCTTTAAAAATATGTCAAGGATTGAGACCCGATATAGACAAGTTAAAAATATATCGATATTTAAAGGATTTCATTAAAAGATGTTGAGATGTTGACCCAAAAAATAGACCAACAGCAGAGGAATTAGTTACCGGTGATTGAAGGTATGGAAGTGGGGAAGATAGCGAAAGTGAAATAGAAGAAAAATATATTGAATGGTCTGAAAAAACTCCTTATAAAAAACATCCTACTGCCGTTACTACTAGTAAAATGATAAATACTAAAGAAATCACTACTAAATTACAAGAATATTATGCTAGTGGAGATTTAAATCTTAAACTTGACAGTCTTAGTTTAGCCGAAGTAAATATTCAGGAAGGACAAGAACAATCTTCCCTCCAAGCCCAACAATTACAAGAACCTAAATAATAATCTATGACAGAATTAGCAAAAAAAAAAAAAAAAAACAATCTACCTAATTAGTGCCCTAATAGCCACAGTAGTCATCGGAGGGATGGTCTACTGGCTTTGGCCTAAAAATAGTTCCAAAAATACTGAACAACCAGTAAATAACCCTTCTCCCAATCCCAACAACATCCAATATCTCCCTTCTGAAACTGAAGCCCAAACTAAAATTAACCAAATAAAATCCTCTAAAAACTTAGATGACCAACAAGCCACTATTGAATTCTTAACTTCCTATGTCCCCGAAATTAAATGATGAGAAGTCAATTCTTTATCTGAATTAGACGAAAAGATAAAATTAGTAAATAGTAAAACAGGCTTTCCTCCTTTTCCAAAAGTTCCCTCGGTCGATGAGTTTAATCAAAGAGCAGATCAAGTTTTTGGTTATAAATCCCTAATTTTTATTGCCTCAGTAATTCCTCGTGTAAATAATGGAATTGACTGAAAAGGTTTAGATTTTAATAATTATGTCCTTACTGTTTTAAAACCTTTAATGGATCAAGTTAAATTCAAGCCTGCTTTTGCTACCCAAACTAATTATCAAGAATTAGCCCGTCGACTACAAGAAGAAATAAATCCGCTATTATCTTCTTTAACTACTCAATTTTCTTCTCTGAATTCGGTTGGTGAACTTAATAATTTAACCGAAACTCTACTCAGCAAATATTTTCAGGGCTATATTTATGCCGAAGCCATTCATGATGAATTAGGCCAACAATTAGGAATCACTAATCATCAGAAATTTGAGGGACAAAAGACCGGTAATCAGTCTTTTAATATTAAATGAAATATTATTTTAAATGAATTTGGTTTTAAAAAATAGAAAAGCAAATAATCACTATGACCGATATCCATACATTACAAAAATACGAAAATTGAAAATCTGCTAAAAAGAAGCGTAAAATCTGAATTAACATAATTTCCTGAATATCAGGACTATTACTAGCCTATATAACTGTTTGC